CTAATTCAAATCTTTAAACCAATCAAGAATTATTCTACTATGAATGTTATAAGAATCAGTTGAAACACAAGACAAGTTCTGGTCAACCAGATCCATTTTTAGAAAGTACGCATTGGAACGAGATGATAAGCTATTTCTGGAATAGCCTGTGACATTGAATCCCACGAGGTTTCCTTTGGTTACCTGACGTCCCAGGCTGATGCGATGATGGCATTGACAGCCATGTCCACGGGCACCAGGTCAGCCGCACATTTTTCATTGACTTCGAAAGTTCGTAACAACCCAGCACCAACCCCGCACTGTACACCGGTGGGACCATACATGTTGTCTATCCAACCGTAGATTGGTTCTCGGGCAGTTGCCACCACTGCAACATTACCATCATAGATGACACCATCTGAATCTTCTTCAACAGCTTGAAACACTTCCAGATAATTTACTCCATGTATATCATCTACATAATGTACAGACTCTTCAGTATCTACAGAACATGCAGAATCTTTAGAATATGCAAAATCTTCAGATACTGCATAATCTCTAGAATCTGCATAATGTTCTGTACCCTGTACATAGTCTACATGTTTTACACCTTCTACAGAACAAGGATCTTTTAAAAGGTCTCTCTTAGTTTAGAAACCACCATTTTCTTTGGTAATATTAGATCATTACATTTCACTAAATTACTTCCTGATCAACATTCTATGTATTATTAAATTTACGGAAAGTAAATAAAAGATAGATCTAATAACACTTAAAACATATATTTAAGCCTAACGTGTCATTAGCCAATTGTGTCTGATGATCCAATCGAAATCGATCACCACTTACCATTGTTTATGTATATATACCGTATTGTGAGTTATCAGTATAAGTACATATATGTTTAAACTATTATTATACTATCTTTTATTAACTTTCCATATTACTTTTTCCCAAAATGTAACAGGTGACTTCCATACTATATGAAAATAAACATCGTACACCAATTTATTATTTTACGATCTACAAACACTGGGAGTTTGGCTCTCAAAAACTAATCTCAATACTAAAAACCAAGCGGGATTTGTTAATGAAAAATAGTTTATTATTAACGGGTTTACGGTGTTTTAGTAGCTGTAGTCTGTTCATTAGGATAGAGGGAACCAATAAAGTGAATTATTACACAAACGAGAAAATGTTGAAAACCACAAATATTTTGAATAGTCAAATGAGTGTGACCACAACCCTAATATTTGTTTTTACCGGAAGGTGATGGACGTTTTTTAAGAGGTTGGTGGACCTGGGTCACAGATCAAGGTCGCACTAGATATACCACTAGGTATATCTAGTGCAGACTTGCACAGATGCCTTTGTGTGGCAAAGCAAGGTGTGAGCCGGTACAGCACAGGGGTTAACTGTGCCACAGAGAAGTAAGGTACAGAGGAAACATTCAATGGTACACCACAGAGAAGTAATATCGCTGGTGTCTAGGGCAAAGTACAATACTGCCCCCTTCGCCTTTATGTACTGCTCACTGTGGAGGAGGACTCTGTCCCTGTTCGATAATGAATTTCCGCACAGTGTCACCACTCGGGCTCTTTCTTGATCATCACAAGTATGTTTCCGGCACAACTTAACTAGAGATTGAAAGCGCACGGTATTCCTCTGTAGCTTACTTCTCTGTCTTTATATTGATAAAAAGTAGTGACATGGATCCAAACCCACGACATTCGCTGCCTTGGGCCCGAAGTCCGTGCCGCTACCGACTGAGCCATCGACTCACCAGTATCTGAGTGTGGTAGCCTAATTTAGCTTTCCAACCGATACTAAACTTTTATAAAAATCATACAATTCAACTTACCAATGGATGGGCGGAAGACAACTGCTGGCAGACCCTTACCATAAACGTTGATGACATTTTCAGCTATGGCCTTGGTAAAGCGTATGTGTTCGGATATTCGCCACATAGCCTGAAATGAAACAATAATTTTCTTAAATACATAGCACACAATAACCTAACTTTTTATGTTCAAGCTTAAAACAAAATATTTAACACAAATAATATATGTCATAGACCAACATAAATTGGTCCTCGCAGTTTTTTTAGCCATCCTTGTTTGCAGATACAAACGAGTATACATATATTTAATGTACGAACTTGCCGAATTGGTATTATGGATTCGGAGTTTTAAGTCTGAGAAGTAGACAACAACATCTGGCTCACATGCTCTGTTGTAAAATATGGGAGAAAATTATCAGAATTTGTTTGCAGATTCATTCCTCAAGATGTCGTTCAGATCTGACTCATGGATAGTAGAATTTGTAAAATTGATCTGGGGATAGGGGAAACTAAAATTTGAACCATAAAGTAGGGGTTGTGCTAAATTAGATTAGTCAGGTAAGATTGATACGTACAAAGCAATGCTTCTTTGGAGAGAGATTCTTCAGATTCCTTCTTGAAAAGATTGAAGTAAAATAATAGTAAAATGTAAACGAGGTACCAGTAACGTTTAAGTTTATAAAAAGGAATAACAGGTAAAAAGTAGTTGTGGAGGACAACAATTGGATCGCCAGAATCAGGTATTTAAACCACTACTGTTATTTATATAAGAATCCAAATAAAAAATAGATCTTTTAAAGAAAATTGTAAACAATCACTTGTGCAATGCTAGGTACGATTTTACGCTAATGCTATTCCTCTTTCAATGTTTACTAATGTCGTTTGTCAAGACTTATTCGTATGTTGTTGAAAATTTTAAGGTAGCTTATGACTTAATTATTTGATGAATAGATTGTTTTGGTAAGTGTTCCAGTGTGTAATTTAATTTGTCAACTCTTACATTGATGAGCATGGAGTACCTTGTCATTGACATGATAGAACAAGCAATTTGTATTGTTAACGTTAACGGTTTATCCGTTGAAGACTTACGTCGTTGAGATTTCCGAAAGCTGCTTCTCCGTGAGGCACTCAGACAAACTGATGGCTTTGTCTCCACTGATCGGAGGCTCAAAGAAATCTTCCTCTATTTCGTTTTGTGTGCAGTTTGCATAAGCAGTTGATATGTGGACGAATGCCTAAAACATCCAAGCATCAGTCTAACTACCTTTTTATTCGTAGATATTAAATAATACTTTAAGAGAGATTTAAAGAAAAAAAATAAAAGGTTCAGCTGTTAAAGAGTTCTAACAAATATTTTCTGGTTCTAAATTGAACCCATTGATTATACAAAATTATCTACTTGGTTAATGCCCAATGAATCATATAATCTTCAGTTTAGTAATTCAAAGAAAATATTTAAAAACTAACTCAAAAAACTTCAATTCGTTTTGTGTTTAGTGATATTTTTTAACAACCTCAGTTACCAAAAATATAAATAGTCTCTATTCACTACATCAATTAAGTCAAATCAGCCATGCTACATAATTAAGCAATGAAGTCTTTAAATGTAAGGTTTTCCGTGATTAAATTGTGAGTGTTCGTGTTTTTGTGAGGTTTTAAAACTGTATAACCACAGTCTGATTATTTAAAAGAGACTAATAGTTTTTATAGTTTTCACTGTAAATATATGTTGCAAGTGATCATAATTAACAACTTACGAACATAAAATAACTCTCCTTCTTTTGCATCTTTTCCTAGACTTCTTCCTCTGCCCAGTAAAGTAAAATTAATTCTTAAACTGAAATCATTATTTATGGTGCCTGTAAGGTTCGTGTGGTGACTGCCTTCCTTGTTAAATTCTCTAGTACATTTAATTTATCCTTTGATAGGATGTGCATGCAACAAAAATAAGTTGAATCTGCGAAAGCATAGTCAAAATTCTATGATGGCTAAATATAGACGGATTAGACTAGATCCGTCTCATTCAAGCATAAGCATGAAAATCATTTGGAAGAGGTTTTGGATAATCTGTGAGACATTTTGAATATAATTTACCTTGAGCCTAGGACACTCTCTCGCCAGCTCAATGACGAATTTCGTTCCCCGACGTTCGTGGCAATGCCTTGACTCAGGGCCTCGTCAAACCTAAGTGGCAGGGATCAAGGAATTTTCTACAAATTAAACTGAAAATTACTCAAAATTGGATTTGCAGGACCATTTAACCTTGTTGCAATTCCAAAACGGATGGTTGTTACTCAATCACAAATATTTATGAGTATGGAATCTAACGGAGGTAACGGTGTACTCTTTCATACCATACCTAGGCTAAATATCTAAAGTTTTTGGAAGTAAACTACAGATTCCCCCCCCCCATTTAATTCCAAATTACGTAGGCAACTTTAATTAAAATTGCCTTCAAAAAAGCTTATTATTGGATTTTTACACATTTGTCTAATATATTTGTACGAAACTGGTGTATTCAAACGCGAGCAACCCCTTCCTACAAAAACAGTGACATATAAAATTAATCAGCAAAATGTATGTGTATGGAAGTTTGCAAAGTAAATAAACTGTAGGCCTATCAGCAAAACCGCCACATTCTTTTTTTTTCAATTAGCTTGCTAACATCCCTTTTAATAGGTGGAAAATTAAAACACAAACTTGGAATTATTGAATAAAAATTACTTTTTCCATATCCTATGTTTATAGCTCTTTAGGAGACGGGAAACAAGTGAAATTCATAGAAAATA